GTTCGGAGGATTGATCGGTCGTGGCTGCCTCGGTTGGTCGGTCGGTCGATTGGTCGGTTGCTTGGGCGTGTACGCGCTATCGTTGTGATACCAGCGGAAGCTGGACGGAAATACAAATCCATCTCACGGTACGAACCAACATCTCGATTCCGTATTCCCATATTGGGTTTTACTGTTGATCTTATGCTGGGCCATTACTCGAAGCTAAATTTTTTATTGGTTTCATACTAGTTGTCAGTACTGATCATGATCATGATTGGATCATGATTGGATGTCCACTTGGTCCCACCGGGAATCAACTTTTTACTGAGAATTCGCATTCATATATTTGCCAAGAATATATTTTTTGAAATGTACCTTGATATTGATAGTGCAATGTTAAAGGAATTATCCAGGAATAGACCATATTGCCAGACGTGTCTTATCGTAAAAGTACACAATGTGTCCTGAAAGTCACGTATGAGTACAATTATTTTCTAATAAAATGGACCAGTACTGGACGCGGTAGGTTTTTGATCAATGCTTAACAACCGCGGATCGACCAAGCGTTGGCTCTGTTGTAACGTTCGGCTATTCCTATATGGACTTTCGCGTTACTCCCGCACTGAACACACACCGGGGATGTTGCACCTTTGACCCGGGAGAAACAACGATCAACATCCCTTGCGTGATTTGTAATCATCGTTTCTCCCCCTATGTTGGTACACTTTTACGGGATCCTGTGTGTTGATCCTATGAATACCGAGCTCTCTTGCTTACATATGTTATGTAGGACGTATTTCTACCCGTGAATACCGTGAAAGCGGGGGATAACGCGTCGAGAACGCGTTTACAGGTGGATTCAATGATGGAAGAATAGCGCGGAAATGTCTGGGGGAATAAATTCGGTAAAAGGACGCGATTGGTTCCTTTTGATAATTCCACATTCCTTCCAATTACACTCCATTATTTATAAGGCAGAGTTTTTTTCAATATAAAAATGCAATAATGTATAAATTGTCACGTAATATTAAAAACTTTTCGATCAATTCAGGTGTTTGCACAATTAATGTCCACATCCGCGTAAACAGCGAGAACACAGACCTAAGAGGAGTAACGATCGCCACGATCGATACGCACACGCGGTCGGCTTACGCGCTTGTTTTTCTCCACACGCTGCCCCAACCAGAACAGCCCGTCTCTGCCTAAACTGCTGATCGGACAGCTGGGAAGCGCGGCCCGATTGCGTAACGAGGACTATATTCGCCCGGGTCGTAAAACGTAATCGCCTCCGCTCTGCGCTCCGCACTCCGCGCTCTCGAGCCATCTACGAGACGGGCATTATCTCGGTCAGTAACTGATAGTTCACAGTCGCGGATGTGTCGCGGCTGATTTTTAGATCCCGATACGTCCGTTCGCACACTCGTAAACTCCGGGCGGACGATGGGAGTCCAACAGCGTGGCGTCTGTATCTAACGTACGAGCATAACAACCGCTTCCTGCACGGGAAACGTCAAAACAAGCCCCGTATCTGCGCTCGCGCGTACAATCTTATTGAGGCCCGACTTAATCTATCACACACGCTTAGCGGTATCGATCGCGCGCTGCTGGCAGACTCGACGATCCCATTATCACTATTGATATTGCTGTCAATTATAATTGAGGGTTTCTCGCAGCGAAGAGAGGTATGGATTTCTGAAGTCCAAAGCAAGTCGCCGTTTCCACATGAATGAGGGTATCATTGTGGCTTAGACACTCGTGCGTCACACGCTTTGCCAATGTCTCTCGCGTCTTCCTCGAGCCATTCTTTGCGAAACTTGTGTGCCAAAGTCTCTCGTTATCGCTGCCGTTCTCTACTACCATCACCCTTTGGCTATTGCGTCTCGGTGTTGGTGAACCGACGAACTTCCTCGATCGTCTCTCGCGTTATTACGAATCCAGATCGAGCAGTCCCAGTCGATAGCCGATGCGATAGCGAGCGGCAGGACGCGTAGTTCACATTTCGAATCGCTCGTTATAATTAAACACGCGCTCTACTAGTCGTTCAGGCCGATCCTTATCGAGCGTTGCTTCGATAACGTGCTCGCGCTTTCTCTTTCTCTCTTCTTCTCCTTCTTCTCTTTCTCTCTCATCCCCGATAGTCCATCCAGCGAAAAGGTCGCGGGACGAGCGCGAGCAAAGCGAAGGCAACGACGGCTTTGTCTCGTTACGCCGGCAGTCCGGCAGGTAGGCAGAGCGGTGGGATTCGTACGGCGCGCCACGCCGGCGAGAACGGTGGAGTCAGCGAGGATGATCTGAACGCGGCTCCATCGGCTTCAGCTCGAGCTGAAGATGGAGGCACGATAACGACGACGGAAATTGAATTCTCTCACCAGTCATCCCGCTGCGAGAGAGTGCATGCACACACGCATCGATTCGCCCCACGAGTCGTATAGCCGGGTATCGACGGGCTACGCGTCGAGAAAGAGATGAAAAGGGAGAAGCAGAGAGAAAAGGGAGAAGAGGGAGAAGGAGAGTGAGAGAGTAAATGAGCGAGAGAGAGAGAGAGAGAGAGAGAGCGAGAGAGTAGAGGGGAAAAGGGGAATCCGTCCTTCCTGCTCCTTTTGTCTCGGCAGCGCGGTACAGATGGGTGCACGTAGGCTACCTCGAAAGGCGAAGCCCGTAACGGCCACTCTATGTAGGTAGGTAGGTAGGTTGGTAGGTAGCTAGGTAGGTAGCTAGGCAGGTACGTACATACGTACGTACCTGCAGCATCAGAACGGCAGCGCCGTCCTTTTGGCCTGCCACGCGGCACAAAACACGGAGGCGCCTGCAAAAAACTTCTCTTAGCGCGATGAGGAACTCGGTGGCGCGCCTATGCGTTGTTAGTTACGGGAGAGAAGGAGAGTGAGAGTGAGAGTCGAAGGATCGACGAGAGAGAACGTCTGCGTCTCGCGCTGAAGAAGGGTTAAAGGTGGATCACGTTCACGAGCGCGCCGTCCAGCGCTTCGTTACCGATTCATAACAGCGAGGCTGCTATCGTGATAGCGTCTCTAGCTCGGACTGCAAACTAGGTTGTTTACGTTCAGTTCGTGATAAATATTGAATTCCAGATTATGGAAGAGAGTAGTTATTCTCGAGGGTGCACCTAATGGCCGCCGCACGCCGCGAAATCCTCGCACCGCCGCTCTCGGACTCGCGAATCATCGCGTCCTATCGATCCGCATTTGCCGTCGAAATTCACTCGAATCGGACGTTAGGAAAATTCGCGCGACTACAATCATATCTTATCGTGGAACAAGTTAAACCTCCACGTACAATGTCGGGTCTATGAACGATAACAAATATTCCTTCATCAATTATGGTAAAGGGGCCGGGAAATTTTCAAAATTTGCTTGCAGATTTTGATTTTATTGCGCTATTATCCTATAGCGGAGGCTTTTCTGTGAAACGTGTTCAAAAATATTCAGTTTTAACAAAATTATCGAGTTTAAAGAGGTATTGCATATTGGAGGGTTGCAAAACTGCAACTTTGTTCTTCGAGTACCGCATATTTCGATGACATTTCTCTCTCTTTTTCTCTCTCATGCAAAGTCGCGTCATGTAGAGTTCAAAGGTCGCGCAGTATGTTTGTCGCATTGTCGCAAAGACTGCCTCTGAACTCTCGTGGGTTCGCGATGCAGCAGCAACGAGCGTCGTTTTATTGTCTCCGCGCGCAAGCTCGGGTAACGCCGACGTGGCTAGTTAGTAAAATCGTACCTAGGAGCATGTCCGATCGACATTACGATAATTTATGGCTTAAATAAATGCCCGATCGGTGTTCGAGCGTGTACAGGTATCAATTTACATGACGCAACGGATATGTAACCTGATATATCGTGTGGCGGCGGTACAGGCAGACCCACGTCCGACGGTTCTCATCGTAACTACCGGCGCGAGCAACATAAAGTAGCGACGCGAAAAAAAGGGTTAATCCGCCGCGGTGCGGGAGGGGCGCGCCGCGTTACCTGGATCTCGCGGACAATAAATTCATCGGTATGTATCGGGCTGGATGCGCATTCGTAGCACAGATAATCGCGCGCAGTGCGCGCGAGTGCGAATAAGGCGAGCACGCGGATGCGCGCTTCGAAACATGAGACTCGCGAATAATCGGGTTCGTGGCGCAATTTCGCATCGATTCGTCCTGAGCTCGATGATGATCAACCCCTGTACCCCCAGACTACCCCTCGCGAGCCTGTAGATCCGATGCAACGTTTAATTGAATACAGTGTGTGGGCGAATCGTCATTTGGTCCGATTTATTTGTTTATTTTTTAACCACCCGCGCTATATTGTTAATATTTATTCTCGTCAGCTCGCAAAGTGATAACGATGTTGCTGCGTAATCCGCGTGATTCTCGCATTTCTGATTCTCATTATTCTACCAACTGGTATTTCCTTTAGATATCATCTAATGAGATCGAGTATCATCTATGAAATAGCGACAAATTATAAATAAAATTAATTCAGCTCTCATTTCTCTCTCTTTCTTTCTCTGTTCAGTCTGTCTGAACGATTTGTACGAGCTGTGCGTGCGCACATGACTCTAAAGAGTTCGTCCGGTCTCGCGAGCCATTTTTACTTTCTCCAGCGACGTTCCGGTTTTTCGAGATCCCTCCGTCTAACCATCCCGACTCAAGCTCGCTGTGCGTTATGTTCGAGTCGCGAAATGCGATGTACGAAAGTACGATTCTACTCAGCGAGCGATAAGAATCGGCGAGAAAGAAAGAAAGAGAAAGAGAGAAAGAGAAAGCGAGCTCGAGGGAGCTGACGGTCTCACAAAAGGTGAACCCACTTCGTGGGTCTGTCGGCCAGCGGTGGCGGCGGTGGCGGCGGTGGCGGCGGCGGCGGCGGCGGTGTACGCTCGCGGATGGCGGGAGGCGGCTGGAGGCGGCTGGAGGAGTAGTCCGTAGGTAGGTAGGTAGAGAGATATATCGGAGCTCGGTTGTGTTCGGGAGATTTCGTGCGTTTCCGTTGGCTGGTGGTGGCCGCCGCGCTCCGCGCACCTCCGCCAAGAGTTTCACGCTGCGTGGAACGAAACTCGTACGTACGCGATCAGGTCGACCGAGGCCGCCGGCCTTCCTTTGCGTATCGGGCCCCGCTGCGTGTTTCGCGCCGGTTGACAGGTTCTATCGTCGCTCGTAGTAATACCTCGCGACTCGCGACGAACACGATCACGACGACGACGACGACAAGGACGACGGCGGTAGCGGCGGCGACGGTGGTAGTGGTGGTGACGGCGGCGGCGGCGGCGGCGGCGGCGGCGGAGGCGGCGGCGGTGGTGGTGCGTTATACGTGTCTTCGTGTGAGCCGGCGGACAGCGCACACAAACACACGCGCGCATACACGCACTCACCCACACACCTGGCCGTCAGTAGCCGCGCCAAGGTGCGAAAGCGTCCCAGTCCGGTACTTAACGCGGTTCCGCGCGGGAGATTCGCGATGCGTTCGCGACGCAGTGTACCGTAAAGAGTTCTCGCGGCTGCGGCGGCAACGGCGGCGCCGGCGACGACGGTAGCGGCAAGAAAACGCGCCAATCGCGCGTCCGGTGTTCGCGTGGTGCTTTACGCCCGGCGGTTTGTCGCAGAAGAGGAGAGGGAGGCGGAGGACGAGGAGAAGGAGGAGGACGACGTGGAGGAGGAGGAGGAGGAAGTGGTGGCGAGTGAGGGTGGTAACAGTGGGACAGGGAGAGAAGAAGAGAGCGCGGAGAAGCGAAGGGCCCATCGCTCCGTGAAATTGGAGCAATCCGTTCTTCTTATAGTGACACTTCCTTTCTCTCCTCTCTCGATCCGGTGTCCCGCGATCGAGAGAGGGTAGACACTATCGCGCCCCTACTGCCTCTTCGAGGTCGCCGGAGTTTCCGGTACGACGAGAACGCCGACGAATGACGAACTCGAAAGGGCCACCACCGGCAGCAGGGCCAGGTAACGATCCGGCTCGAGGGAAAATCGGAGTCGTAGGCGGGGCCTAAGGTCGGTGGACACGTGACACGGAAACTGTCACGCCGCCCTAGCCCTCCCTTCGTTTTCCCCCCACCATTCGACCGAAATCCAGCGCGACCCACGCTCTCACACCACACACAGCGGACGTGTCTACAGACGACGCCCGTGATCAACGAGAGACCACTCACGCACGTGTACGTGCGTGTATGTGTTTCGCATTTCAAGTCTACGATAGTTCTACGTGCAAGGTAGAACCACGTAACATTACGAATGCTTCACGAGAACACTATGTGACTCCGATGATGAGCACACAACGACGGTGAGCACACGGTGTTGCAACATTGACAGGATCCTCGAAATTCTGCGCTTGGACTATGCAATGCAATTGTCGCAGCAGGATCGCAGTGCTCGCTTTATTTTTTACAACTTGATTTCCCTTCCGACTCGAGCGAGCTCGGAAATCGCTGAGCTACTTCGAGACATTTAATTGCGCATCCGCTTCCGTCAATGCTCGTGCACGTTTCCCGTTTCAACTCTTCGCGTGATTCTATAGTACTTTACTGATAAAAATCGACCGACTCGCTGTGGCCGAAGTGACTTTTGAATCCATAATCGTACCGCACAGTCACCAACTGGTCGCTCCACCGATGACGCCATCGTGGTCGCCCGAGGTGCAACGCCGCGGCATCGACGCGTGAATTCCCGAGGATGCAGCAGGCCAGCGTAGGCGGCTGCGACGAGGACTCCGGCGCGGCGAGTCCTCCGGCGACGAGATCGCCGGCCAATTTCCCGATCAAGAGCGAACCCATCGCGGACAGGAACGACGGCGGGGTGAGGGTTAAGGTCGAGATGCCCGAGCCAACGGAGGCAGGCTCGGTCGAGGTCAAAGGCGAGCCGCGAGAGGACTACCAGCGGCAGCTGAACAGCAACGACTATCACTACGAACGCAACGACAAAAAGCCGGCATACATCCCGGATGCTCCTGGACAGTGCCAACAGCCGCACCAAGGATACCGTCCCGTGGCATTACCCCCAAATTCCTTCGGCTTCCCGCCCTTCTACGGCCATCATCACCCTGCCATGATGCCGACGGCCTTTCCCGCCGGACGTCCGTCACCGGACGGGCCGATCGGCAAAATCGGGGACGGTCATGAGCAGGCGGCCTCTCACGTCGATCGACACGTGGCCGCCTACGGCAGGATGCCGCCGCCGATCCCCAACGACGGCTTCCTGCAGGAGCATCATCATCGTTACGATGCTGGCGACTTTCAGCACGCCAACCACGGCGTGCCGTATCCCGGCTTCCGACCTACCATCTCGCGCTCGCCGTACGGCAATCATCAGAATAACAGCGCCTACAATCGAAACAGTGGCAGCAGCCACTACCACCCGGCCAGGCAGCGCAAGTGGAGCAACGCTGCGTTTCGCGGACTGCATTCGCCGATGCCTGTGAGTTTACATGCCTCTCGTCTTGTTTTGTCATCATAAATTATCGAGATCATTTTCATAAGCGATGAGAGATCGAAGTTTTTCCCGTCGATTTTATCCGAGAGACGGAATCTATATCAAGACTATAATGATATTAAATATCATAGAGCAGAATCCATTTGCATGTGCTTCGGAACGTCAAATAAATCAATGTGATTCATCTATCTGTCGCTCTTGCAGAGCTTGGTCGTAAATGACATAACCTTTCGCGTGCTTATCGTAATGACATTTCTTTATATATACGCAGGAATCTTTTTACTCAGGAATCTCTATTCGTTAATTGAAGCACATGGAGAGAATATTATAGCTTTTTCTTTCTTATAAATTCTTTTTTATTTTAAAGATTACACGCGGAAAGTCGAGATTCCGAAAGGAGAAATCGCTGCGGACCAGTGCGTTAGCCGTGTTGTATTTCGCGTTGGATTACGCGGTTATGGGACTCGTAGAAGGAACAATACCTCTGTGTAACGAAAGCGAGAATATCGCGTCAGTCGTGATCGCGCGATTTTATTGAGGCTCGATAAGATCGGTAATCGGAGAACGGAGAGATAGTATCAGGCGACGTAGGCGGCAGTGGAAATTTCATTTTTCGCCCTCCGGCACGTATGCGAATCATCGAGGGGAGCGCGAAGTTTCCGAGCACGCAAACGGTACGTCGTGTCTTCGATTTCGTGCGAGCGACGCGTTACTGCGCGCCCTGCTATATATAATCGAAATTTCTTCATCTCCCGCGCACGTCATAGATCAGATCGACCCATGTACGATATTGCACCGGGGTGTCCGATACGAAAAAAAACAGAAACAATATCACTCCTCGACGATCATGGCGATTAATTAATACATGAGTCCTTTATTTTGAAAACACCGCAGTCACGGAAAAAAATCAATAATTTAGTTGCTGCATTCACAGAAACTAAGAAACATTGTTTGATCCAACTAAAATTATAGTTATTTTTGGCCCCAACCATATCTTTTGGTAGTTTTAACGCGGAAATAATAACAGTAACATACATATGAGATTATCTCTAACATTATAGTAGAATTTAATAAAACAATAGCTTTCTTGTCTATAATTTATAGCAATTAGTTTTTTATATGATTATAGTTATACCAAATCTCAATGTATGCTTGCAAAATTAATGCAAGAAAAAATAGGGGAAAAATATGTCAAGGTACACAATAACGTTTGAATCCAAAATACATTCTTTTTCACTGCACGTTTACTAATCTTCCGCTCCGAATCTCGAGCGCGAATGTTCAGTCTGAATATTCCGCGAATGGTGGTATCGTTTTCCGTTTAAGAATCGGGTCGCTGAGGAAGTCGTGACGCGTGCGATACGCCGAGGTAGGGTGCGTTCGTAAGCAGAAAAAGCGCACGTCGAGGGCAAGAAAGTGCTACGTAACGCGGGATCAGACGCAATTAGCTCGTCACGTCGCGTTATCGTCGCGCGAAAAGCACCAGCGGGGGTGCGCCGGCACTAACCCTTTTCAGTTGCACGACGCTAATCGAAAGATCGAAGACTACTCCGATTTGTTGTTAACGTTTCAACGTAACAGCTGGCTCGTCCATTATCGGGGGTGGTAATCACATCAGCTCGCAGGAATGTTTCCTCTGTATTTCAACGCAGAACGAATAATTTTCGTAATCGTACCGCCCCTTGCAACCGTGTATGAGATAGTGGCGCGAAAAATCGCCGTAAAAATTATTTATCCGAGATTAAAGCGCAATAAAGAACCGCTTCGAACGTAATTTTACCGAGTTCTCGACAAAATAGAGGAGTTGAAGAAAAATTAAAGGTGATATCTCGCTTGCTTGTTTCCTTGCTCTCTCTCTCTCTCCTCCCTCTCTCTTTCTCTCTCCCCCTATCTCCCTCTTTCTCTATCTATATACATATCTCCGTCATAAATACAATTAGCTGGATAAAATTGTAATGCGAATTTTAATTTCTTAATTTAGGATGCATTAAATAATATCTAAAATGTTAAAAACATTAATTTTCTTGACTGTTAAAAAGTACTATCTAAAGACTTAATTATTTGAGAATTACGTTTTGAGTGAGTTACTATCTATGATTTTCCATTATTTTCTTGTAAATGATCTTAAGCTCGTCTTTTGATCGTCTTTCCTTGAAACTTGTCTCATGTGAGACACTCGGATTGAAATTTAGAGTTAGATCTGAATTTGTTAGTTAAATTACATGATATACGTGATATTATTTTTGTGATTTAACCGATAAATCCACGTTTAACTCTAAATTCAAATCAGAGTGTCGCACTCGAGAGACAAGTTTCATATAACTATTAGTATTTATTATAAAGTTTCATATAACTATTAGTATGTACCTTAGCCTAGTCCACAATCTCGCTTCAAGCCATAAGCAACTGACCAACCATAGTCGATTATTCTTAAGTTATAAGGAAAGTAATCGACTGTGATTAGTCAATTTTAGCTTAGAATTTAAAGCAAGGTTATGAACCTAGCCTTAGATGACATAATCCTAAAGTGATAACACAAGCGTCTGTCTATCTATCTCGTTTCTCCTCACAACGTCGCTTCCGCGAGACATGGTATGCGACTTGAATTGAAATTGTCGGACCGCAGAATAAATGGTTAATGGAATCGGGACGAGACGAGTCGCGATCGGCCGAGCAAAAATTTCGGCCCCGGCCGAAACTACAGTGATTACACGCGCCACAGCCGTGATTTTGCCCCTCGGGGGAGGACTGCCCGCGCACCCTCTCGGCCTCTCCCTCGAAAAGAGAGCCCCCGGGTTCACGGTACAGTGATACAGGCCTCATTGAGAGTTCGGGCGATTTACAAGCGACCAAGCGCGCGGCGATGGGTCGGATCGCTCGACGATTACCGTAACGCCGCGCTCGTAAAACAGATGCGCGTGCTCCGCGTCCATTATGACGTAATCCGCCGCTTCTTATAATTTATCACCGGCCGCGGAGAGTGAGAGAGTCGGGAATAAATATCATTCGAAATTTCAGTTAAGCGGCCGCATTAATTTACGGGACGACGATTAGCGCGTCGAACTCGCGAACCGATTCCACCTCGCCGTTTTCGACGAGAGGGCTGGGATTAGCTAGTTGGCTGGCTGGCTGGCTGTCTAGCTAGCTAGCTAGCTGGGCTAATGCGCGCGTGCCACCTCTCGTACGCCTCGCCTGGTTCTTTCGTTTTATGGCAGTGCCGCCGCGTTTCCAAATTTATGACGCGAGAACGATTCAACTGGTGGCCTCGTGAAACGAGGTCTGCTCGGGCCGTAATAATAACGGCCGATTCGAACGGGTTCGGAGCGTTCCGTTTGCGCTTGTTACACGACTCCACCGACGCGCGCCCTCGACGGTGGGACTTTAACGCTTAAAGAGTTTCACGAGAGAGCGACCTTATCAACGATCATACGAGTCGCGTCGATCGACTAGGCGTGACTCACTTCGCCGGGGAGATCTATCGCCGCTCGCTCGCGGAAAGTATGAGAAATGCATTGGCTTTGGCTATAACGCGGAGGAGATATACCTGCCTGCTGTCTTGACGCTCGTAATCTATATCGCTATTGTTACGAGTACTTTCAACCGAGTACCTCCGAGTTACCTTTAACCCTTTGCGCTCCGAATTATTCTCGACTCTCCATCTCAACCGATCCGATATAAAATCCGTATACAATAAATATACTTGGCGACAATATCGTATACCTTGTCTTTATTTTCAAATTTCAGTATTTAACTCAAGAAGAATCAAGAATCATTCGTTAAATTAAAAAATATCAATAAAAAAATCAACAAAAAGACTTATTTTGTTTACAATTGTCAATCGTTTATTAAAAAGTATTTGAAAAACGAGGTTTTTCTGTAGAGAAACTGTATTTTCATAAAGTTACCTCAGGATTTGGACAATTTTAAGCTTCATATTCGAGTTCAGCAGACCAAAAAATATAAATATAGCCCGATTAGAAAATTCGACTAATGGGGACGCTACCTCCGGACAGGATAAAGCGCAAGCAAGCAAAGCGCAAGAGACAGTTCTTTAGTTCTTCAACAGCGTTCTCGATCGTTCTTCTGCGCTGCATGCGCAGAATTTATTGTATTTCATGATTTATTTCAAGTATATTATATATCATAGTTTCGCTTGATTTCCGGATTTGGATCGTATCTTCCTTCTATTTAGTTCCGACGTTCCGTGAACATTTCAGTTCACTTCTTCAGGGAGAAGGGCGACTTGAAACTTATATTATACCATTTCATTTGAAACACCACAATTATAAATTCCGCGGTGATTGAGAAGCGACAATTCGACCGTCAGCTAAAATTTCAGAAGAGCTCGATCTGGTCGAACTACCTGGTCTCGTGCATCCGGCTGTTGAATTCTACCTGGATGCATCTGAATACAGCGTAACGGGACGGTCGGCGCGGTGCTCCAGAAACGCTCTCTCGCCCCGGCATCCCGTAATCGGCGTCATCGACGATCGCCCCAAAAGGGGGCGGTCGGCTAAGCTAGGCGCGACGCGAGCGTGAGGATGAGAAAGAACGACGGGAAACCATATCGCGTCGCGGTCTCGCAGCATTCGGGCCGAAAGCACAGCTCCCCAGCTTCTCTCATCTGCATACCGTTTCGTCCCGCGTAACGACCGCGTTCATCTTCCGCGGGCACGCACCTGTATCGAGATAACGCTCCGTAACGTATGCCCGCTACGAATAAGGGCATTGAATCGAAGCCGATCCCTTCGGCTCCATTTCGCACTCGCTCGCTCGCGATCTCGCGCGACGAAGTCGCGCGCAGCCGAAGGCGCGAATCAGTCTATAAATTTCGCGTACGGGAAGTCGCGCGCGCACCTGCGGGCGCAGGCACTACTCGCGAGAGATGATCGGTGTCGCGATAGCGCGCAACATTTCTCATTCGCTTGGCGCGTACGACGACGTGGCTCGTTTGTCGCGAGAGTTGCGACGCCGGCTCCTGCGAA